TTTGCCTATAGACAATTCTTGAAGTCATTAGAATCTGCTAAAAATTTCCGTTAAAATTTATTTGTCCGGTTTTTTTAATAAATACTGTACCACAGGTAAAAAATTCAGTGTAACGATCATAACTTCAAAAGGGTAGCGCATAGGGAAGAATTGAGTCTCAACAGGCTCTTCTTGCATCATCACAGAGATATTCGGTAATTAGGTTGTTAATTAATACTTAGCTGAAAGAGTCGATATTTTTTACATATGTCTATGCTAGAAAAACTTATTCGAAAAAATAACTCTTGTAAATGTTATAAGGAAGACAGTAGTAGTGTAGAACTCGTTAAGTTGTAATGACTTTTCAACTGTTCTACGACTATTTAACTATTAATGATTTTACGACTTTACAACTATTCCTGTTCCATCGGGGTCCTCCAGCATGTTTGTAGGGTTTTTGTCGTTATGATCTGATCTATCATGTATACTTCGCAAAAAATCGAACCATGCATCTTTTGCTTTCTGGACAGCTGTACTAGAAAGAAGTCTTCCGTCTTATAACCGAAGGGGAGCATTTCGACTATGATAGTAAAGAATCAAAGTCAAATGAATGGATCCATGCATTGAGACTGAACTTTCCAGTTGGGTGTGGGGTGTGGGTGGGTGTGGGTGGGTGTGGGTGGGTGTGAGTGGGGTGTGGGTGTGGGTGGGTGTGGGTGTGGATGTGGGGTGTGGGGTGTGGGTGTGAGTTTGTCTTAAGATCGGTTGTTACACCCACACCCACATCCACACCCACACCCACCCACCTACACCCACACCCACCACACCCACACACACCCACACCCACCCACACCCCACACACCCACACCCACACCCACACCCTTTAGTACCTTTTTGTGCTAATCTACTTGATAATTTACCTGATGTTAAATTTATAACTTTCATGAATGGTAATCGTAAAGCAATTAAATGTTTTTCAAGATTATTTAACTTTTTTAATTCAGATAGAACTTCACATACTTTCAGCTTATTCATAATTGCTCGACTTGGCATTTGTTTTTTTTTAATTTTATCTAAACATAATTTACAAATCCATTTTTGTTCTTTTGATGATGAATAGTCAAAGTAAGATTGAATATGTTTTTTTATTTCATTCGTCATGTTTTGTTTTATATATTTTTCTTCAACGAATGGCATTACTTGATTACGAAAAAGTGCTAATCGACATGATATACAAATATAATCAGGTCCTTCTCGAATTATTTGTCGAAATCTATTCAAGCTATTTATATATAAATCTCTATGTTTTATTGTACATTTATGACTTTGAATGATAGTATATTTTTTTAAAATACGTTTACGTTGATTATAAAGACGTCTTGAATTTCGTTTCATCAATGTATTGTCACTACGATACGAGTTCAATGCACGCTGAATCATTTTCAATCGTATTGAATTATCAGTATAATATTTTCTTAAAACCTCAGTTTTTGTACGATTTCGAAAATCAGAATTATTATGATATTTATTTAAAATATAAGTTTTCGATCGCTGTTTTTTTTCTTGACGAAATGAAACATATTTTCGATATTTTTCTAAACCATGTGTTCTTGATCGAGTTTTTTCTTTCTCACGAAAATTACTGTTATTCGTATATTTTTTTTGGAATATTACAGTTACACGTTCACTTTCTCTTTTACGAAATAAATTATCCTGTGAATACTTCTTATGAAACCAAGATGACTGCCTAGTAGATTTTAAAACTGTTGCTTTCTTACGGATAGTAGTATTTGATGAGTTTTTTTTTTCTAATTTCTAGTTGTCGTTTTCGTTGATAATCTAGTCGACAAACTTTTGAAATCAGAGTTTTTATAGTGGCCTGAACAACATTCAAATCTTCTAAATAATTCGTAGCATCAGTTTTATTGACATATGTAGATTCCATATCTTTCTGAACAAAACTAACATTATTCAAAAATATTTTATTTGATTGTGAAGTATTTAAATCAGACGTTGAACAAGCAAGTGCAATATCCCAACGTCTAAAACGTAAAAATTTATTAACAGCTGTTACAATTAAAAGTAATTTGCGCCATGAACGACTAACACGATCTTGAGTTTTTTTTCGTTCATAAGTTCTTTTACGTGTTCTTGCTTTAACTGCTGCTGATTTTTTACGAACCATTTCAGTTGTAATAAAATATGACGACAGAAATCGTTGATGCTTACAACGGTAATAGTTTCTCTATGACAATAAGATCGTATATAAACAAAATGCGTCTTAATCTTCTTAGTGAGAAACTTGAATATCTGTTTACTTGGTGAGATAATTTAAAGAAAAAGTTTCTTTCAAGTTAAATCTTCTTTAAAACTAAGCGAAGATAAACTTGTCAATAAGCAAGAAACTTTAGAAAGTCAAAAAAATGAGGCGACTTTCTTTAAATCAGCTTTTGTTTTTATTATTTTATTATTATTGAATTAAAAGAAAAGTTTCTTTTGAGTTAAAGCTTCTTTGAAAATAGGCGAAGATAAACTCGTCAATAAGCAAGAAACTTTGGAAAGTCAAAAAACTAGGCGACTTTTTTTAAATGATGTTTTTTTTTGTTATTTTATTATTTATGAATTAAAAGAAAAGTTCCTTACGTGCTGAATCTTCTTCAACAGTTGATGAAGATAAACTCGACAGTTGGCAAGAAACTTTCGAAAGTTAATAATATAGGTAATCTTCTTTAAATGATTTTTTTTAAATATTTTATTTTTGTCTTTGTCTAGTGTAAATTACGATCTAAAAATCTAAAATGAAATGAATACATATTATTAAAAATTTTAAAAAACGAAATTCAAATATTTTCAACAGAAAATTATAAGGAAAAACAATTTTTTTTTTGTTGTAATCTAATTAGGTTGGATAGACATATTGTCATAAATAACTATGAAACCTCCATAAGAACTTAGACACAATTTTCTTTCTAGATGTCAGATATTTACATTAATTCATTAATTATCTTTGCGATCACTTTATTATTATCAGCTGAGTTACAGCTGTAAAGAATCGCTTTGATTGAACGAAGAGACTTGCGGCTAACTTTTCTTGGTATCTTTTAATTATCTCGAATATAAAATCTTTCAAATTCGTCTTTTTCCTAAATTATTTGTAATTCAACGATTCATTCTAGTGAAAACTGAAAAACGAATTTCAACGATTTGATCTTGATCCTTTCATCTCACGTTTAAACTTTTTTTTCTGATTTTCCGTTCTCGAGATCATCGCGACACAAAATGACTACTTTTGATGCGTACGTCAAGTAAGTAGGAAAAAAAGAAAGAAAACTAGATGGTATTCGAGCTTCGCTTCGAATACGAAATGCCCTGCGAAGCACGAATCTTTCGAATTTTCGAAAAAACGATATTTGTCAAAAAACGAGACTTCGATTTTCTAAACTATATTGATCGCTATTTTGACTTAAATTGGCTACTGACTCTGTTAGATAGACATATTTCTTCATCTTCATCAAACAGATGATCTCATCTGAACATGGAATGAAAGCCGTCCATTATAAAATTCATCACTACAGAAACTCTACGAAAACGTATCGATAGATTTCTATGAGTTGTTTCCTATTGATCAATTAATTATCTCAGTGATTCATTATCTACTATCAGCTGTAATTCGCAGCTGTTTGATATATATCTAATGAAATTAGCGCCTAACTTTCCTTTTGAATTTTCATTTTAATTATCTCAAAAGTGAACTTTGTCAAAATCGTGATTTTGGAGCTTGGATTATAGACGAACTATAGGTTCTATCGATCATCTGACAAAAACAGGTACGAGTTCGATCTTGATATTTGCACTTCGCGTTCCAACGAGTATTTTCTGACTTTCCCTTCTCGAGATCATTCGAACAGAAAATGACGATTTTTTTGCGTACGTCGAGAAAGTAAAATAAAAAAAAAAAAAAAAACTCGCGAAGGACTACATAAATGCTCCTGCTTCGCAGGGCATTAAAAACTCGCGAAGGACCACATAAATGCTGTGCTTCGCACCGCATTAAAAAAACTCGGGAAGGACTACATAAATGCTGTGCGAATGCCGTGCTTCGCACCGCATTAACTAGATGGTATTCGAGTTTTGACTCGAATACGAAATGCGGTGCGAAGCAGGAAACTCTAGAATTTTCGAAAAAACCACATTTCGTAGAAGCGAAAATCTGATTGTCGAGTTAATAGTAATCGTCATTTCTCGTTGGAATATCACACGCTACAGAACATAGATACTTCACTGTATATCATTCGAATTCAAAGAATTATTTTTTCATGAGTCAGCTGATATTAGTCGCGAGAAAATTGAAAACCACCATAATAAAATTTATTACCACGAGAACTCTATGAAAGCCTATGAATACTTTTATGAACGACAATTTCGATTGATCGTTTAATTATGCTCGCGATCACTTTGTTATTAGCTGACTTACAGCTGTAACGAATTACTTCAATAGCTCGAAAAGACTTGCGGCTAACTTTTCTTGCTATCATCATTTTAATTATCTCGAGCATAAAATTTTTCAAATTCCTCTTTTTCCTAAATTATTTCTAATCCAACCGCTTATCTTAATGAAGTATGGAAAACGAACTTCTACGATTTGTTCTCGATTCTTTCATTTCACGTTTCAACGGACTTTTTCTGATTTTTCGTTCTTGAGATCATCGCGACACAAAATGACTATTTTTGATGCGTACGTCAAGTAAGTAAGAAAAAAAGAAAAAAATTTGCGAAGGACTACATAAATGCTGTGCTTCGCACCGCATTAAAAAACTCGCGAAGGACTACATAAATGCTGTGCTTCGCATCGCATTAAAAAAAGTAAACTCGCGGAGGACTACATGAATGCTGTGCTTCGCACCGCATTAAAAAGAAGCAAAAAGGATGTTTGACTCATCTGCTCCATATGATCGTTTTTTGTCATTATCATATGTGTTGTCTTTTTTTTTATGCTGTTTTATACCTGCTATTCAATAAAATAAATCATAAATGAATGATATATCATTAGTCTCAGTCCTTCGAAGTTAACTGTTTGTTGGGACGCATGTAATAACTAAAGTATTGCTATTAAAGAGAGTTCTATTCATCGCATTTGAATCATATATGGTGTTCATATGAAGCATTGGAGCATTTTTTTTTTCTTTTCAAATATATGTTTATACTTAATTACAATTATTAAAGTCAATTCAAATAATTCTGTCTCTATCCAAAAAATCAGGTTATATAATGATTTTGCTGAGATCTATTTGTAGATTAAAGTAGATGGTACATTAATAACATTAATCATTCGTATTCTATACATACACCATACAGTATACGAGTACGCCATCTTTAAAAATAAATATATTTAACATATATTTAAATCACAACCAATCAATATTATTCGGTCGCTTCGGTTTTCGGTCTGAAATTCGGCCAATTATTATTACCCCAATAATTTGGTTGTCTTTCGAAGATCAACCAATAGAAAAATTACCAAAGTGCATTAATGCACTTCACGTTACGCATTTGATACGCGAACTCCGCGTGACGGTGGTACGCGTTATAATTTTTCGTGCTACATGCGTGCCGATACCGTACCTTTCGACATGGGAATGCACTGCACGGAATAAAATTTTACACTAGCGCTCTCTATGTATATACATTTTTTTTGGAACACTATGGTGGGGGCTAATGGAACGATATCTTGGATGACAAAGAAATGATCTCATTTTAAAAACGACTAGAATTTTATTGTTTCATTAAAACATGTGCCGTCAAAAGGTAAAGTTGATCACAAGTTTTCGATCTTTTAGATATAAAATTTAAACCCTCACATTTTAACACGTACGAAATGACTTCAAGTGTATTAAGCGTGATCGATATCGAAGATATCGAGGTAAGAAACCACGAAATCGATAGCAATAATTTTTTTTTTGTAGAACAAGGCAGAAAAAGATCAACAAACGAACATTAAGTTATTACAAGAGGAAAACAAACAATTAAAAGTGGAATTGAAAGAATCAAACGCTCAAGTGGAAAAACTCAATGCTTTAGTCTCAAAACAGATGAAGGATATAGAAAAATTGGGTGATTACACAGACAAATTAAACAAAGAAATGGAAGAACTTAAAGAAAAATTGAAGAAGACTTGTGAAGATAGAATTATTCGAGATGATTCATCGAATTCACCATCACCACCACCTTACAAAAAGCAAAAAATTGAAGTAACTACGGCTACAAACGAAAATATATAGACATTTTTTGCATGCCAATGTAATATTATAAGAAAAATCTAATCGCTGTTTTTGTTATCGCGAATAGAGTATATAGAAATTTCTTGGTTCTATTTTTTTTTTTTTTTGGTTATATTGTTGACAGAATTGTCATCTTTTTGTTATACATTTTGTGGGAAAATAAATATGTAAGAAGAAAAGGAAGAAATTAATAAATATAATATGAATTATTATGAGCATTTTTAATTACTATACGAAGAAAATGTTCAAATGCAGTTAAAGATAATTTTTATCATTTGTTGTTTGTTGTAAATGAATAAATATAAAATAAATTAAGTGAATTTTCGCTCTTGTGTTAAAGATCATCGTCAGACTTGATATAACTTCATAAACATAAACCAATGGAATAAACCTTAACCAACATCTATCACCTAGAATATTATCTCATTATTTAAGCTCACATTGTCTGCTTACATAATAATGTAATGTGTATGATTAATTTAATTCCTTTTATATTTATTCATTTTGAACAAACAACAAATAAATGATAAAATTTCTCTTTAGCTGCATTTGAACATTCTGTTCGTATAGATACCAATGTTAATTCTTTGCGGGTGAATTCATACTAGACATCAGATCTAAAAGAATTCGATGTGAAACTAAAAAACGTTATCAACCCATACATTATTCTCTTTTAAATGCGGATAAACCAACAATCAAACGGATTGAAGAATTATCTGATGTATAGGGTGGGTGTGGGTGTGGATGTGGGTAGGTGAAGTGAAGGTCCAAACAGGCACCCACACACCCGACCCCACCAACCCACACCCACCCCACCCACACCCACACCCACACCCACCCACACCCACACCCGCACACACCCACCCACACCCTGTACGGCTTACATGTCTTTTTATTTTCCTTTCAT